CTATATTAGACAAAATTTACTTCATCAGTAAAGTCAATAAAGATATATATAAGATTAAAATTACTGGGAACTTCAGACAGTAAAGAAGCTAAAAAAATACCAAAAAAAGAAAGTAAAGAGCTAACTTGCACTAAACCAAAATGAACAGAGATAATCTCTTTACCCACACTGCTAGGAAAAAAAAAAAAAAAAGCAAAGCAACTCTCAGTAATTTTGTCCTTATAAGGTTATTTATATTATAAAAATACGTAGTGGCATATATTTTGCAAATATACAGTATTATGTTTCATGAAAGATGCTTTTCTACATCACATAAGGAAATTTCTAGTTGGTTTATGATTCTCATGAACAATCAGCTGAAATCATTTTTTAGTTAGGGAGCAACAGGAATGGTAAGATGGATAAACCTCTGAAGGGCATTCTGCTCGACAAAAAAAAAGAAAAAGAAAATGTAACTCTCCTGCTCCTTACAGTTTATTATTTGAAGATTTTGAATGCAGAGGCTAGCGTGTGGGTTATAATACTCTCTCGAGAAGTATCTGCTGAAATACAGGGGAATAGTTTGGGATGTCCTGAAGAGCTTGATAATGATTTTGGTGGTTTAGCTCCCTGTCGCTGAGCACCGGAGTATCAAGGCAGCAGGTGTATAGAGCATGCTATTGATCACTGACGTCAGTAAACCAGGCGTTATCTGCACAGATGACACTGGCATTTTCCTGAGGGAAAGAGCTATTGATGAGCCATCTGTTATGGGAGCACTGCCAGAGGACAGCTTCACTCGCTCCGCGCTGCGCCTCCTCCAGGAGGATTTCTCCTGTGCCATCACCAAAACGAGCTTCTTCCAGAGGTGCGGAATGTCTGTTCTACCCATTCACTAGCCTCAGGGACAGCCCTGTGGAAGACAAAAGGAAATTAGATCAACTATTTAGGGTAACTGATGTGTTTTTAGTGACCCCCGCAGTGCCAGGCTTTTGGAGGCAATGCTTTACCACAGATTTTTAAGGAGTCCCTCAGCAAGGAAGTGTGCTCTAAGCTGTGCTGTGCACCAGACTTCAGTTCCTGTAGTCTGGGGCCTGATTTTAAAGCACCTTCCAAGGGTGAGGCATGGGAGTGTCCTTATGGCAGCTGCATAAAGTCAGCGTTACACTGATACAATGCTGTCATCATCTAGTGGGGACTTCAGCATATTATATTGTGTTTTATCTGGCTAGCAATGGGCTTGACAAGGAAGCCAGTGCTGAGAACAGTGCAGCAGAAGGTCACTGCCATCAGTGTTTCATTTACTGAATTAAAATTGAATGCATGTGGCCCCTCAGGGGTTACTTTTGCCCTGGGTGCATGCATACTGCGTGGCTCCTAGCTGAAGATCTGCTCAGTGGAGACCACCGTGGTACCCCTTGGCTCTGAACTGCTTCCAGTTTATTACCCACACTGACTAATATTATTCCCAAAGCTCACAGAAACCGTGTCACAGACAAACACCTCGCGATAAGGAAGAGACCTGCTGACACTGGTGTACCCAAAGGAGTAATTCAGACCTAGGCTGTGTCTCACCTCTAGGCTGTGACTAACCTGCTACACATATGCAGCTCACCGTGCTTTTACCAAATACTCTTACCTGCTTGGTAGGATCCCCTTTCAGTGTGTTATTATATTTTTGTCCAAGTCTCTCCAGTGCACTAAAGACAATTAATTACTTATCATTGTGTATGTTTTCCTACAAAGCATTAGAATACAGTTCCATATGTATGCTTTCTACATTACATTAAAAGAAATAATTAAATTCTTCAGTTGCATCTTGAGTCCTCGAGCCCACTAAACACCCATGATGGCTATTGGTTTGAGTGGGCTGTGATACAGGTTACAAAATTTGCCAGTATTGATTTTAGAAGAAAACACAGGAGGGAAAGGCAGTGCTGAATAACAAAGACACAGTACCTGAACACCGCAGACATCCCCGTGCAGCAGTAGCAGCATCTGAAGAGCAGTCAACATGGAACTCACATGAACCAGGTTCCCTATAATGCTGATAAAACATGTTTCAGAATTTATAAGCATGTGGATTTAAAGGGGTGTGCTCTGCAGTTTGACCAGCCTTATTTCTCTCTCTTTTTTTTTTTTTCTTTTTTTTTTTTTTAAGTTAGCTTTTTCATACAATGGAGATAGGTTTAACTTCTAAAAATATTCTCTTAATTTTTTTTGGCAAGAGTTTGTTTATAATACCTTGATTTTTTTGGTTGCCTTAATTATTGTTTGAAACCTTTCTCTTCTATGGGACCAGAGATTAAACCCTCCCCTTGGCACATCCGATGGCAGCCAGTGGCCCAAGAGGAACCAGCTGCATGCAGCCAGGGAGAAAATTAGTGATGTCAAGAGAAAAATGATGGCAGGCTTTTTTCACCTCTCAGTTTCTCCACTGCCCCGAAGTTGAGCTGGGGTGGTTGTGTTCCCCCATCCCCTCACAGACCAGACCCCCCAGCCCACATCCATGGTGGTGGCTCTGTCTGGGGTCCATTGGGATGGCTCTGTGGGCTGAGCGTTGCAGGGATTTGCAACACCTCCTGCTCTGGGCTGCTTGTGCTGTCCAGGAGCCTGGACAGATCGAGCCCCAGCAAGGAAAGCCCATTCTGGGGCACCCCTCTGAGCAGGGGTACCACGAGCTGGCTCCCACGGCTCACACAGGCAGGCCCTGGGCACCAGAGCACTTGCAGCTGTAAGCGTTACTGGCGCGATGGACTGCCTTACCTGATAGGAAACAAAATGTTTTTTTTTTTCAGAATGCAATGCCAGAAACCCCTCAAATTCTAGTCTGTATTTCAAACAGTTAATTTTTAGCTTGATCTGTCAGTGTCATCCCAGCTGTCATATTTCACAGCCTTCAGGAGGAATCTCATGTGATGCCTGGATTAATCCTTGCAGTGTTGGCAGAGAGTAGTCCACTTGTCTTCCTCAACAATGTATTCCTTAGAGAAATCCAGTGAACTTTTATGAAACAAAGAAGACTTGTTTCACACTGGCAAGGCTCAGATCAAGTGTTTACTCTATATGCACAGTGTGCAGCTTTCAAATGCACGCTGCCCAAGCTGCCCAGGAACTTGAAAAGAAAACTGAAGCAAGGGGTTTTGGCCACCCTCCTGCAACTGGGCTTCACAGCTGGCTTTCTGAGCCTGCAACTAGGGATGGCAGGATCCAGCAGTTTGGAAAGAATCACAGAATCATCTCGGCTGGAAAAGCCCTTGAAGCTCCTCCAGCCCAACCATGACCCTCACCCTGACCCTTCCCAACTCCCCCAGATCCCTCAGCGCTGGCTCAGCCCGACTCTTCAACCCCTCCAGGGATCCCGGGGACTCCCCCCTGCCCTGGGCAGCCCATTCCAACGCCCAACAGCCCCTTCTGCACAGAAATCCTTCCTCAGAGCCAGCCTGACCCTGCCCTGGGCAGCTTGAGGCCATTCCCTCGGGGCCTGGCGCTGGGGCCTTGGCTCCAGAGACTCATCCCCCCTCT